TCTCTTTTGATGTGTCACCCTGCAGCTTGTTCTCTTGCAGGAGGGCAGGCCTGTTGCAGCATGACTGCTCCTGGATTTCAGCTGCTGGGGTAACAAAGCTGCGTTTCAGCAGCTTCTATGCGTTTCACAGACTTCAGAGTCACTGGGTTGACCCCAGGGGTGGAGGGGAATTGAGAAGGCCAAGGAGAGACATCACCCTCAGACTCAACTCTAACTAAATCCTTGTCACTCACATGAAAGATGCATAAATTACTAGTGCAACAATAAACCAGAATGAATTATTATGGAATCATGAAGCATTCCACACCAGGAAACAGAGCAGAGGATCTGCAGTGCCATGTCTAATCTTTGACCCACCATATACGACTCAGATGAAGAGGGTTTTAATCAATTACAAAGGCACTTATCTAAAGTGTGTTCTGCTGTGGAAACATGAGTAAGATCCCTCCTTACTTTCCCTGCTTCACAGCAAGGTCCCCACACTACAGGGAAGGAGCTTAGAAAGCTCTATTACTCTGAAAACATTATCACTCAAAATAAAACCTTCTGCTCAGAGTCAAGCTGCTCTGTGAAGGATCCAAGGATGGAGCGGTTTTGTTGCGAGTCAGGATAAAAATCCACGCAGCTGATAATAAGCATTTTATAAGCCTGATCTACAACTGATTGAACTCAGATTGTCTGGTCATAACAGATCAGGTCTGCATAGTATTTCATATTCACTCAAGAGCTTATCACACCAGATGTCAGGCTATGCTTCCCAGTGAAATAAAGAGTGCAAGATCACAGGTCCAAGGAAAGGAGCAGCTCACTCAAGTTCTGCAGCCAGCTGGTGACAAGCCTAAGAAAGGAACCCATACTTCCCAATCTAGAATGAAGCTCTTGAGATGTGAGCATTTTCAGTTCTCATAAGAACATTATAAGTATATACCAAACCCAGATCATGACCCCAAGCTTTCCTCTTCCAACTCAACACGCCTTCGGAGTCCAAACCTAGTGGATGACCCAGCTCTAAAGTAACAAAGACACTGCCACATAATTACATCCAAGAAACTCAAGCTTGAGCTGAGAACTGGTGGCAAGCCTTCTGCCCATAATGCTCCAAGGAATTTTTGTGCAAAGGCCTGTGGGGAACCAAACCTCCCGCCCATGTTAACGCAAGTGAATCTAATGAGAAAACTGAGGTGCCTGCAACAAAACCCTGAAGACTAAAAGAGCCCAGTGGCAGGACAAACTTCCCACACACTACTTACCTATCAACTTCTCCACTAGGTATGGAGAGACTGCATCTAAGCCTTGGAGACTCAAATAGACCATTCTCGCCTAGGCATCAAATTTAAGTGTACATGGCTAAGCCACATCCATTTCCATAATGAACAGGGCACAAGGAAGCAAGTTGCTAACCTTTTTGATCCCCTCTGACCTCCCCTGATCATTTGCAACAAGGCCAAATAGGACCAGCCTTCAGCACATGTCCAGAGTGAACCTCAGACTCATACGCTGGATTTGTGGTTGCTTTTCCACCAAGCCCCCCCCCCAACTCTGCCAAAAGGGCTCCGTTTCCTCACACCACCAGCTCACCTAACAAATCAAAAATTTGCAAGAGAACTGGCTTGCACCTGGTAGAGAAAAGCCATCATGTGTTTGGTTTGTGGCTGTTCTTTTCTCAGGTTTCCACACTGCCAGAAACAGACGCCCGTATTTCCAAGCGTTGACAACTCTCACTTTTCTCCTTTAATTCATGGGCAGTGAAGTGTCAGGAAGAACAAGAATGAACTTGCCCTCAACTGAGCAAAGGAAATAGAAAAATCTGCAGCTTCTGCCGTACAAGCTTGTAGTGACAAGTTGCTGGATTTCCAGCTAGAGGAAGCTGCTTATGGGAGCAGACTTGTTGTTGCCAACTCTCAGTTCCTAAACTTGATTCCCCCACTCTTGGGCTGGTCACACATTCTGAGGAAAGTTGAATTAAACCATTTTTAAACCATGTCACCATTTAGAAATGCTGATGAACAGTGTCTGCAAGGCTGTCAATATATATACGTGTAAGAAGGGAAGCAGACAGCAGGGAGATAGGTGCTTACAATAGTCATTTGCTCTGGCAGCTGTCAACATTAAACTGATAAAATTGCTGCTGCTGCACCATATTTATGCACTAAGCTTTTCCCCACTGAATCCAACATGAGAATCTAGGAAACAGTGAACTGTCTCTTAGCATAAGCAAAAGTTAAGACAAATAAAAAATAATAAAAAAGGGCTTCTGACTCCATCTAAATCTTACTTCCTACAAAGGCTGGAAGCAACTGCAGAATCATCCCGAAACTGGAACCTCCAAGTTCTCAGCCCCAACTTTGATGCTAGCTTACGCATAACTAGATGCTTCACCTCTTCTGCCTAGATTTTTCCATCCAAGGGGGATAGTTAGCTGCGACTTGCTACACAGCAGTGGTGTGAAACTTTATTAGTCAGAACACTTTGAAGGTATGGTACCTAATTAATATCTGAAGTGGCTGCAGTGATTATTATGAACAATGGCATAGCTCACAGCTGGTGATACAGCTCAGCTCATCAGTATTCTCAAAAGTGCTGTGCAAACATACAGCCAATACTCCACATCAGAAATCTCCACAGTGGTGGGCGGTTATCATTTCGTGGACGGAAAAAATGAGGCAAGGTCTGATGGAGCCCAGCAACAATCACAAACCACAGAGCATGGGAACTTTAAGAGGCACTCACATGGGAATTCCTCACTTGCTGCCAGGATGGAACAGAGCAGCAGTCTGACAGTCCCATCACAGTACCCTGCAATATTTTGGGTCTGTTTGGAAATGCTTAGCTATACATGCTCTGTGCAGGTGTTGAATTTAGCAGGCTCCTGTAAGGAACCATAGGGTTGGAGCTTTAAGGGTACCAATGAGCAAGCAGGATCTCTTAACTAACCCTCCAATGCACAGGCACACACAAATACCATGCCACATAATGAGCGAGCCACGGCAGCTATGGGACCTACACATCAGCACAGCCTGATGCCATACGCTCCCAGCTGAGTAGTGGAAGCACAGCCCTCCCTCTACATACGCAGGCAAGTTGCATCTCCCTCATTTCAGCAGCAGCAACCACCGCCAGGTTGGCCCCATCCTTGGATCACGGAGGTGATGAGCAAGCAGTACTTTCAGCACAGAGGTCTCTGCACCTTCCCTTAACCCAGGTACCCTGAACTCTACAAGCGTTACCACCCCCAGGACTCACACAAGCAAGGAGCATCTCCATTTCACCAGCTGTACAATGAACAATTACCAACCAACTTTGCAAAGTGCTCTCAGCAATAGGGAGCGGAAGTGTTGGTGTTAACCCTCATCTTTACTTTCATTCTTTCTTGCCTTCAGGAGACCTGGAAACACATTTTAGCCACATTGCAAAATGCAGAGAGAGTAGAGTATAAAAAAAAAAATTCTCCAGAGCCTTACATAAGCACTGCAGTTGAGATCCATAGGCTCTCTTCTGTCACTGTGTCATGGAGCTGGGTTCCCACCTGCCTCATCTCCTGACAGCTTCCTGGAGAGCAGAAGCAGCAAGGTGAAAAGAAAAGGAAGGGGATTTTTTCTCCTGTCTGCTAAAGGACTGACTCCATTTTGAGCTCCTTAGATTTGTGTTGACATTATTTTGAGCTGTATTTGTGGCAATATCCAAAGGATGAGAAACAAAACACACTGCTTTGCCAAAGCCAAACAGAGCTAATTTTGGAGCTCAGCCATTTCTGAGACAGTGGGACATATTGGTATTAGTGATTTAATAGTACAGACTTGAGAGACAAATAAGAAGTCATCATACTGTTACCTACACACTGGGCTGGTTTGCAGGTCTGTACATGGCCAGCATATAAAGGCTGGAAAAAAAAAAAACAGCCCACAATATTTCAACAAACAGCAGCCCAGAAGAATCCCCCAGGCAGATGCTGACCTGTCACTCAGTGTATAAGGAACATAGAACAGGGTCTCTTTGAAGGGGAAGGTCATTCTAGATGGGTGTAGGGGATGTCTCCTGTGTGTAAGTAACTCTTGGGTTGTCTACCTCCCTAGCAACTCTTCATAAAATTTTTCACAGGCAAATGTGTAAATCCCCAGAGGAAAACGAAAGGCAAGAAACCCTATTCACCCCTTTAAACTTGAGCACTGAAGAGATAAGTCCAGGTCTATTTTATAAATATTTCAAAGTTCAAAGAAAACAGCAACTAATATTGACACAACCCAACAGAAACATTCCAAGGGGCAAGGCTGTAGGTTGCGCGATACTCCAGTGCCACCAGCCGCACAACTCAGGAAAGAGCAGCTAAGCAGAACGAAAGGGGAGGCTGAGCTGCCTAGCAGCATCAGGTGAGCCAACAACCCTCAAGTCCATGGAGCTTACCCATAGATTACAATGAATGTCAGATGAGGTGCTTAATTACCAAAGTGATAAATGTTATAAGCTGCAAGAGAGATCAGGCACTTGGGTGAACCCTCAGGAAAATATATGACAAATTGGTGCTCCTTTCTCTCCCACAGGAATAGTGAAATCAGCCCAGACTTAAGTCTTCTTTAAGAAAATTAACAACCACCACCACCAGGGAAGGTACATTTGTCTGCAGCTGAGAAGGCAGAGAAGCTCAGTGGGAGTCCTAAACATTTTCTACATAGCAGAACACTGGAAGCTGCATTATGTGAAAAGCCTCAAAGCCTCTCTGTGACCCTACTCAGTCCCTTTAAACACAGGTATGTGCACACATGCTTTTTTCACACGTCCATCCATGGATCCCAGTAGTTTTTCATCCAGAAGGCTGTGGCCAGCCAGCTGGAACATTCACATGCTTCACTCTTTCATCTGAGCTCATTGTGGAAGAAATCAAAGCTTTCTTCCCCCCACCCGCACCCCTCCCTCCACTATCACTACATGAGTAAATAACAAGGAAGTCCCAGTAAGAACACAAAGTAAAATGCAATCCAAGTTTTTCCTCTGCCCCTGCTCACCTGGGCAGAACTGCTAGACAAGAGCACCTCCTGGAGGAGACGTCCTCCTCTTTCCTCTTTCTCTAGGGCTGAGCTCTCGTGACACAACGCTTGCGGCACGTACCTGGGCTTCCCTCTCACTTCGCAGTAGTGGAACCTAGAAATTTGTAAGAGTCATCAGTTCTCTCTTTCTGTGTCACAGTCTACCCAAGTGAGGTTTTTAATCTGTTTAGACAACACTGTGAGTCCTACTTACTATCAAAGCTAACAAAACCACTATGTATGACCTAAAGGTAGCAGAGATATTAAAATGAGAAAAATGAGTTAAAATAAGACATTTTGCTCAAGTTTTCTTTCTTCCTAGATTTTACTGAAGAAAAAAAACAACCCACAACCCAGTGAAAGTTGTAATACTTCAACCTTAGCCAAGCATAGCTTCAAACTTACCAAAGTCTCATCTGAGCCTATAAATAAAACGAATTATAAACTCAGTTACCTGGGACTGCTTAGGTGTTGAAAACAATGTGAACAAAAAGAAAGATTAAAAAACCCAACACAGTATTACAATAAAATTAAGTTATTTTTATTTCAAGGATATTATTACAAAAAACGCTCACTCTGTTATACACTTAAATGAACACACGCCCTACCATAGAAAGCCCTCACTCCACAGAAAGATCACATCACTGTCAACCTCCAAAGCATACTTCAGGCAAGCCCCATCTGCAAAGGTGCATTGATCACAGCCTGACCAGTATCACAGAATGGTTTGGGTGGGAAGGGACCTTTAAAGGCCATCCAGTCCAACCCCCCTGCCATGAGCAGGGACACCTTCCACTAGACCAGGTTGCTGCGAGCCCCGTCCAGCCTGACCTTGAATGTTTCCAGGGGTGGGGCACCTACTGCCTCTCTGGGCACCCTGTCACCCAGACACCCTCTGCAACAATCCAACTCACTTGTTCATAGCTGGTAAACCAGGCTATGTGTTTTCCAAGAGCATTTTAAACAGAAAACATGACAAGAAGCAGAACGACGAATGCATCGCACGGGTCAACAGAAATGTTCCCTTTCCTTGAAAAGCCCCAGGGACAAAAAAGGCATGTTCTCTCTTCTTCCAGGGAATATTCTTGGTACACATAGAAAGCACGTATGTAGCAACTTTGATTTCAAGAGCACTTTCTAGGAACAGCAGTCTCAGAACCCACAAGGTAGGTTAAAACCACCATCACATTTTGCAGATAGAAAAAAAAAAAATAAAAAAACATCACAGACATTACTTGCCTCAAACTCCCTAGGTCGGTCAAGGTCTGGTCCCAATAGGGATTTACAAATTCCTAGATCTGACCCTGTAAACAGCAAGCAGCTCCTTGCCTGTGAATTCATGAATGTCAGAAGCCATTTGTCAGTCACTGCTCCTGTTCTGAAGACTCCCTGCCCTCACGATTTGAGCCATTTGATTTAAAAAGCAGGAGGCTTCTGTCCCAGCTGGTGCTCCCAAAGCAGCACACCAGCTCCATGGCGCAGTCCTTCGTTAAGATCTGGGTTATCCTCTCCGCCATATCCCCATTAATAGCAAGAGATCGGAAGTGATCAAAGTCATTTCTGCCCAGCTTCCGAAGGCGGCGTGCAGCTGCCCTGTAGCACTTCCACGGCTGAGGTTCAATCAGCAGGTACTTGCACAGAGAGGAGAGGAAGGACAGGAACTCCATCAGGCCACTATCCCCATGATTCAGGTGGATCCACATGGTCACAGACATGCAAAAACCGATGTCAAAGGTGGAGCGGCCAAAACGGCCCAGGTAGGAGCGCAGGATTGGCTCCCGGGCACTGGAGTCCATGATGTCCAGGTTGGCAAAGGACATGGAGGCAGGAAAGGGGCTGCACTGCTGAGCCCTCTCAATCAACACTGGATCAATGTCACAGCACAGAAGGTTTAGATCCTTTCCAGCTGCAGGCTGGTCCAGGCAGCCTTTGCTCTCCTGAAGGCCAAGGAGATGCCTGTACAGAGCCACACTTAGCTCCTGCAAAAAGGAAAACAACAGGGGTTCACAGGGCCTGCTCTGCTTCATTAACACATACTAAGCACATAGGATCCCACTCCTAGCAGCAAGGTATGAGCACCAACTCAGAGCTTTCTCTTGAAAAAGTTCAGAACAACCACCTCACCAACAATCTTCCTTTCTGCAGCAAAAAGCATCGCGGTAGCCCTGACTACCAGAAAGTCAACCAGAGATTGGAACATCACCCCACACTCGGGGTTTTGCTCCAAAAACGATGGGAAAGATGAGTTTTAGTAACAGGAATCTTGCTGGATTATCCCCATCCAACGTCAGGATGAAGGCTTCACTGGCTTCCCTAAGTGAGCTCCCTACTGACAGAGGTATATATAATGCCTAATTTAGAGTAATAAATTTCTTCTGCTGCTGCTAAAGTAAGACATTCCCTGACCATTAGATTGTAGCATAAGATAGTTAACATGAGAGCTTTCCTTCAAATTGCCTTTCACAGAGTGCGCCACTAAGTGGAAAGCGTATTAATCTTTCATTAAACAGATCCGATGAAGTTCCTGAATGGCATCGGCTCTGAGCACAAAGCCCACACAAGCAGGCAGAGTGTCCTCTAGTGGTGAAAGTCTCTGCATCTCAAAAGAACTGGACAGAACATTTTTACCTGACCTGTTTTACAAGTTCACCTGAAATAGGATCTAGAGTTGTCCTTTAGATAATACCTTAGGTAGACTTTCAAACCTTCTGGCTGGGGCTGGGGGAAGAGGAGCCATGGAAACAGCAGTACTCTTGTCCCCAGCCAGAATGCAATTTCATTCTGAATGAATAATTATTTCTAAGTTAATACATTGATAAAGTTGCCATCTGAAAAAAAAAAAAAAAACCCTGAAAAAAAAATCTTTAAACATAGTTAAATTAAACATTGCACCAGTATACATCAGAGATGCACAGATACTTCTGAATTACAACACAGCAAAGCTGCACACTGAGGAAAAGCCATGAGAAAAAAGCAGAACTAGGTAAAGAAAGAGAAGGAACTTTCAAAATAGGAAATTCTATGAGATTCACCAGCTCTGTCACAAGACCTTCAAGAGCATGCGACCAGGACTTTAGTTTCAAGTTCTGTCTCATGGATAAATGACGCAATATACACAACAAATTATGGTTTCTAGCTTCAGGGTTGTCCAGTTCACCTGCTCTTATGGCAGTCCTATAGTGGCTCTCTGGTGCTCGGGACATGCAGCAACCCAGGGCACTGCAGGCTTAGGCCTCAGTGGGAAAGAGGACAGAGCCACCAACTCAGCTTCCTAAACCAATTCAACAACACAACCAGCTCCGCTCCACCCTGCCTTCACCCCAACCTTCACCCTCCTCTCACAGGGGACCTGCAGAGGGGGCTTCCCACAAACCGATGATCTCCTGACCCCCACCAGTCTCATGCTGCACCCAAGTCCTGCTTTCCCACCCTGCCTTTTACACAGGCTCATCCCTGTCCCTGGCTGCTATCCCTGCCCCATCCAGGCTGTTTCATTCCTCCCCAGCCGCCCAGGTCAGTGCTTTCCCCAGCCTTCCCCACTGCTCCCCAAGACTCCAGGCTGCTGCCCCCACCCAATCTTCTCAGTCTGCCCCATTCTTGCCCACCATCCCATGGAGTGCCTCCCCCAACCTTCCCAGTCTTCCCTCCAACATCCCAGGTCATTGCCTGCCCCAGCCTCCCCATTCTGCCCCAATGCCCCCAACACTCCACACCAGTGCCTCCCCACCTTTCCAATGCACCTCCCAACACCCCAAGCTCCTGCCTCCCCCAGTCTCCTCCGTTTGCCACACTACCTCAGGTCACTGCCTTTCCCAGTCTTCCCAGTTTGCCCCACTGCCCCCCTCCCAGGTCCTCGCCCCCCATTCCCCCCCGACCAGTGCCTCATCTGCAATCTTTTCCATATGCTGGACTGTCCCGCAGTACCCCAGAGAAAGGCCTCCCCAGTCCACCCCACTGCCCCCCAATACCACAAACCGGTGCCTCCCCCCAGTCTTTCTCACAGCCTCCCTAAACTCCAGACCCGTACCCCTCCTCCATCTTTCTCACCTCTCCCCAATACTCCAGACCAGCGACTCCCCCCAAATCTTTCCAGCCTTCCCCCCACAGCCCAGACCACCACCCCAGCGTTTCCCCTCACCCCAAGCCTGCTGCCCCGCGGCCTCCCCCTCCCGCTGCCCACCGAGGCGGCCTCTTACCCCCGAGTTGCACCCCACATCGAGCCCCAGAAGCGGGCGGGCCGCGGCGGGGAACAGGCTCTGCAAGAGCCCGCCAGGCAGGAGGCTGACTCGCCCCTCGGGCGGATGGAAGCGGGAATAATTAGGGAAGTTGCCATAAGGAGCAGCGCCAGGCTCCAAGGCTGGAGACCCTTCACTCATGGGCGCCGCCATTTTTCCCTCTGCACCGGGCGGAAACCGGAGGCGAGCAGAGGAGTTCCGGGGAAGAAAAGTTCCGGGGGGGGGTCGCGCCTGCGCATAGCGGAGGCGGAGCTGGAGCGGGGGGACGGGGATGAGGGCCAAGGCCACCCTCCCTCTGCCAACACCAGCCTGCCCGGGTCCATCTGAGTGAAAAGAAGAATTCTGAGAGATTTTGTGTAAAAACACCCTGTCTGGGACCCGGCACGACGGTTCCAACCACCCAGGTGTCACCTTTGGCCCGGCCATCTTTGCCCTTTGCCCCAGCGTTGCCATGGCGATGCTGCGGCCTAGCGTGAGGACGCAGGCCTTTGGGGGGGGATGTTGGGGTCCCCAGCCCAGGGCACCTCTGCAGCAGGGCCCTGGAGGAGCCCCCACCCCCAGAGAACCAAGCCACGTCCAAAGAGCGGTGTCAAATAAAGCCAGGAACTTTATCTCAGCTTTCGCTCAGTGCCGCTGTCAAAACCCGCCTGAATCTGGGCAACCCAACCTCGGCCAGCGCTTTACCTATTTAGAAAAGCTTTTACAAACTTTTATGAAAATACTATTTACACACAAAAATAATATATAAATGTTATTTAAATCGCATTTAAACATACGATTGCCCAGGCCCCCATAGGCAGGATGTTTTACAGCAGAAGAAAATGAAAACTCTCAGTTCAAGGAGGAAAAGAGTTGGCATGGGGGAGGTTTTAGAGTCAAGTTGACACAGGGAACCTGGATTTCATTTTATGCTGTTGTTTTTAATCACAGCGTGAAGAGCAGAGGGCGCCAGGAGCTCAGAAATGCAGGTGAACGACTCCTACCTGAATCAAAGCCCTTCTCGCTTTTTTTTCTTGCCATGGAAGAAGCAGCAGGGATCAGCAGGGATTCCCCCACACTGTAGCAAGGCCTGTGCAGAGTTGGCATCGAGAGTCCATCCTTCCTCAAAATACCTCAAGCATGGAAGGGAAGGAAGGCAGAAAGACATGCAAAAGTAAACAAAATTTTCCCCCTTCTCCAGGTAGTGGAATTCAGGTTTCTTGAGGTCTCCTCTGACCCTCTCTGGCTGTACTTGGGTCCCCCAAATTCCTGTCCTGTTTGCTATAGGCACAGGAAGCACCACGATCCCTTCCTCTTTCCAGCATCCTTCGCAACCTGATGAATCTGCTGGTGTTCTTCCTTGACCCACATCCTTGCAACCTACCTCCGAGTGGTCCCACTTCAATTAAGCCAAATGAATTTTTGCCCCGTTCCTCAAGAGCCAAGTGTTGAAATTTGACTGAATCATCAGCCTTTTATCCCATTTGTGGTAATTACAGGAAGAGCTAATGAAGCCTCATATAAATGCTCATGGCCACCTCATTTTTTGCACGGAAATGCTCCACTTCAGTTACTTTTTCCACAGATGCTGTCCCACAACAGAGCATTACCCAGCAAAACACAGGGCAAAATATTTTCTTGCTGCAGAAAATGCAACTGTGGACAGGAAAGCCCACAGTGGCTGTACCACGCTGTTTAGCCACACTTCTTCGGAAACAAATCTCACACCCGCCTTTTGGGCACAGCTCCTTCAAAAGCACAGAGATCTGTTGCAGCAAGATGCTGCAGTTGAGACTTCTGTCCTCCGAGAGCTCTGACAGCCTGGACTGATCAGCCCTTCAGAGCTAATGGAGAGAGAGATGAGTTTTCACCTCCCAGTGTAGGCATTAATTTAGGTCAGGTGAATTGCTCTCTGGAGGCATTTCTTTTTCCCATTGACTCTAGAGAAAGCTTAGTACATCAGCTTGCTCTCCAGAGCTACAGAAAATGCTCTCTAAGCAGGTGCCTTGCTTACATCCACTTGTTTTTTAATCCTGTGGCCACTTAAACCAAGCCTAAGAGACAACAGGATCCTCACCCAAGGAGCCCTTTGGCCCTCAGTTCTGAAATGCTTCTCATGCATGATGCCTCTGCTGGAGTCATGTGCATTTTATTACTTTGTGTAGGATGTGTTCCTTAGTCATAACCAGAGAAGGGACAGCCTGGTCTCCATTAAAACTTTAGGCCATGCCACATCATGCCTCAATCTTGTCTATGTTTTCTGTTTTAAGGGATTGAAGCACCAGCTGTACAACCAGACCTTCCTTCAGCTGTACTACAGTAACAAGACCTCACAACAGCAATAACAGTTTTGCAACAATTTATTAGCAATGTTCAGAGAAAATACAAAATCCTATTTACAATGAAATCATAAGAATGGTCAGACAAAAGGAGCAGGGGGATACAGAGCCAGGGTCGGGATGATGCACACCTCAGGTAAGGGACATCCACACAGAAGAAGAGAAGCAGACCTGCACATGCCCTGCGCAGATGGTCGGGGAACCCAGAAGGAACATGCCTATAGCTATATCCCACTACTAAACTTGTGTTACTTGGCCTCATGAGGACTTCCACCTCTCTGAGCATGTACGTGTTACTGCTTCAGTCTGAGTGCTTTTGGTAGGTCTGGCTTGGATGGACTGCAAGCCATGGGGTCAGTGTAGAAGAGGGACCAGGACACATGCAAGAAGGGAGCCCTGTGGAGGGGCATAGGAGGGCAGCGAGCCATCCCCACTCAAATGGCCTGGAGATGGAGCAGGTGCCATGCAAGCTTTTCCCACGCAGGAGCAGAAAGCCAGGACATAGCAGCAGCTCAGGCAGCAGCAAAGTTACTCCACACCAGAAGGAAAAAGAGCAAGAGATCCAGAGTGGGCTGCAGATCCGTGTTCTCCTCCCCAGGGTCCCAGGCTATGCAGAGCCAGTTTGGAGGAGTCCTGGTGCAAAAAGGAGGGCTGCAGAGCTCTGGTCTAGATTGTCCTCCAGAGAAGGACTTTTAGGACAATTTCAGAGTCAGAACTCATCACATAATTCCACACTCCCTCCTCAAAAGCTGGAAAGTAGAAATACCTACAAGGCCTTTTGCTGTGAGAAAAAAAAAAAAAAAAAAACAAACCAAAAAAAAACCAAACCCGCACAGCCAGTCTGCTAAGATATTTCAGAAGTGCCTACATGGGTCTGAGCCAGAAAATTCCCTCTTTAAATTCCTATTTCATAAACTTTTAGAATACCTCCCATGTTGTCCTCTCTCCCAGTTCTGCCCACTCAGCAATTCAAGGCCCTTGTTTCTTCTCTACAATGCACTGCAGAAATCAGTGGATCATGAACTTAATGCTGTCATCACTTAATAGTTTCCTTTATCCCTAAAAAGATTTTGGCTTTGGGATCTTTTTGTTTGTTTGGGGGAGGAAGGTAAAGTGGAAAGCATCAGTTGTGCTCCTGTGTGACCATTGACAAGGTCAGTGCAGCCACAGAGGGACTGAAGCATTTTTACCCTCTGCACAACAACTTTTCTCTGCCCAGCTCGGGGCATTGAACACGTGTGGTGGGAGGATAAAACATGTGAAGGGTAAAAGCCAGGGCAGCAGCAGAGGAGGAATGTGCAGTACGGAGCATTTTGGCATAGCCTCTCTCTAACACGCAGGGATTGCTAGAGGCAGCTCAGTGACGCACTTGCCCTGGCATTCCCAGAGAGATTGAAGATACAGGTTTCTATCAGCAGGAAGGATCACTTTTTAAATAAGAGCAAAAGGCCTCTTATCTCCACCTGGAGCTTTACAGTTAGAAATTAGCCAGCTAATCCCCAAACAGGGGAATGCGAGCAAGGGGAAGATGGAAAGTTACCTGAGCACTTGGAGGTATCCAGTGCTCTCACCAACATCCCCGTTTGGGGGAGCAAAACTGGAAAATGGCCAGAGCAAGAGACCACATCGATGTTTGCTACAAAGCAGTACCCATTTTGAACAACAGGCATTCACCCTGGCCTCAGTCTCTGGGTAGTAACCACTTAGGACCATTAATCTTGAGCAACCAAGACAATTTTGTGAAGGCATCAGATCCTTATAATGGGTCAGAGGATCTCAGCCACCCGTTTCCCACATCAGATGGTGCCTGGCTTTGCACAGGCTCTGAAGATCAGCCTCTTTCATCAATTCTCTGCCAACAATCCTTACATGAGATCACAACCCTCCCAAGTGAAAGGTCACACTTCTGAGAGAACTGACATACATGGCCCCCTTGGGTGGGAAGGTGAGCCCACAGCCGATGGTCCTGCTATCCCGCTCTGGGAAGGAAAGAAAGCGCATACTCAGCCCCACAGCCAGGTGCAAAGGATACAGAAGAATTCTTCCTGCAGGGGCATTAGGGATGTCCTCAAAGAGGCTGCACGTCCTGAACAACAGGTTCCCTTGTGCCTGGAGGACTGATTGCTGGGACATCCAGACTATGTGATCCCGTGCTCTGCACTTCTAAAAGCAGGCACTATCAGGAATATATCTCTGCAGAGGCCACAAGGCTCCAAATGAATGCAGAAGAGAAACAGGGGAAAAGGCTAGGGAAATCCTTGTCCCCCCTTTGTTCAGCTGGTTTTCCTGCCAGGATCCTAGCAAAATTCCCTACTCTTCTCCCCTTAATGATATTTTCCCTTTGCAGAGCTGTTCTCAGCACTTTGACATCCCATGACATGCAGGATGCAGACAGGCAACTCTGACAGCCTCTGGGGAAAAGAAGATCTTGGTCTCATGCCTCCCAATCTCTGGTCTGGTTTGATCTCATCTCAGTGGGAGTGGAGGGAGCAGAAGAGACATAACACTTAAGCCCTGCTTTGCTTTCTGGGTCACAAAGGCCTAACAGCATATATACAAGCTGCATAAGGAGCCCAGGGGCTTTGCTCAGCTGATTGAACGGAGCCTGCTAGTGGGCCAGAAAGGGTGGGTTTGGTTTTGTTTGTTTTTTTAACCCTCTTTTCCTCCTCTTTTAATATTTTTTTCAAACACTTGCGTCTTGCCAGCAAAGAGAAGATACTGCCTTGCTGCACTCACTCCTGGCTGGAGCCAAAGAACTGGAGGAAGAAGGAGAAGATGTAGATTATGTCCAGATAGATATTGAGGGCTCCAAAGATGTATTCCTCTGGGTTCAGCGAGTACCGACGATTCCCCATCAGCATCTGGGTATCAAATGCCAGGAACTGTGAGGAAAGAGGAAGAAACCTGATGACAGTCACATGGAGATTTGGCACAGGGAGGCAAGAAGTGCTCTGATGACAGGAGTTCTCCCAGTTGCTTCACTGTACCCAGAACGAAAGTGCAGCCACTTTTTACAGGCTGTAACTCCAATTTAAAAAGCTCAGGACAATGCACTGAACAAGCTGCAACTTTCCCCTTCCTTCATTTTACTCTTGATAGTCAAACCCCAAGCCTAACTATTAGTCCAGGCCTGCTTCCTTCATGGTTTATCCATCCCAAATGTGTCCCAGGATCAGGTCTGGAGCAGTTCTCCCTGCTCCTCCTCAGCCAGTCCCTATGACTTGTTATTCCCAGACCTCCCCCAGTTCAGAAACAGCTGCCAGGTAACAAGGTGACCTGGACCCAACATGACATTCCAGCAGCAGCAGAGCAATAGGATCGAGAAACCCCAGATCCTGGGCAGCACCAAGGTCTGCAGGGCTGCCAGCTGAGGTAGCCAGACCCAGAGGGGAGCTAACACCTTTCTGAGGTACAAACACAGCTGAGTGCAGGACAGATTTTACCAGTGAAGTCATCACAGTGGGAATCCACTGCCCAGCCTACCTGCAAGAACACAGCACTCACAGAAACAACCAGGGGCTACAAGGCAGGCTGGTGGCCCAGCTGCAAGAAAACCTGCACCTTGTTGCATGACTTCAAGCCTAGTATCTTCTCCCATCTCACATTTACTCTCTCTGTTAACATAGCCTGCAACAGACACCCTGGCATGGAGCTCTTTTGGGCTGGCTGGGCATCTTTGCCATCGCCCGGGGTCAGCTGGCACCTTTGCCCTCCCCAGCCATAAATAACAACTGATCTCCCCAGACATTGTCAGGCTGAGCTGAGGTTCTGACTGAAGTTTATGGGGTAATTATAAGATGTTTAGCCTACTCATATGTTACAGAACAGTCTTTAATCATGAATCACAGAAGAAATATCCGAGCTCACTTGAAATGACTTTTATAGCTAATAAATGAAATTGCTCAACTGTTCTTATTCACAACATGCCCAATGGGCACCGCCTTGAACCCCAAGGCAGCCCTCCTCCTGACCCCCACCTCGAGGTAATGCCAAGCACCTTCCCAGACAACTCCCACACCTGAATGGCAAGCACGGCACTGCTGGGACTTGCTCTGGGAAGAGGCTTGCAGGAGGGACTGCCAGGGAGCAGTCGAAGGAATGAATCAAGCCTTTTCAACTTTCATTGGAGGAGCTGCCCAGCTGCGGGGCTTTTCCCACCTGCAATGAACCTTCCTAATGCCCTTTAATCCCAAATCATGGCCTCTCACTGTCTTTCTCTACCTCTGTTTCTGTTAGTCAAACTTATACCCAATCCTTGGCTCACTCCCAGTCAACCAGACTCAACTTGACTTTGCTCACTTCTGCAGCCTCATTTCCTCCCCAGGCCCCCTTTGAGCCCTGCAGTCCAGCTCCCACTGATGTGCCAAAGCTTACTCTCCGCTTTTCCCACTCCAGAGATACCTTTTTGTCCTGTCCCTACAATGCTTTCTGCTGTTCACACCTAGTATTGCGCATACAGCATGGGTTTGCCAATCACACCATGCCCTGCACCAGTGCTGTCACGTACACCAGCACCTTCTTGGGACAAGGCTGAGGTCACTGCAATAATTGCTGTTCATGAGCCATTTGAGGATGTGAAGCTCTCTGCAATCCTGCGACTCTCCCTTCTCCCTTCCCCAAGCACCCTTCAAGGCTAAAAGCATTTACTCTTTGCTTATTTTTCCAGCATGTTCCCAGGCCCCAGCACCCACTCACCATAGTAAAGATAATGGCACCAAGCAGAGCATAGATCGCATGGAGCCAAGGGACCTAAAGGAAACAAATCCATCAGTCAGTGCCTGGGAGAAAACTGGTTAATTAGGACTTGGCACAGAAGAGGGCTTAGCTCTCCTGTGAAGGATACACGTTAGGGAAGGTGCTTTAATAGCCCAGGATGGACTTGCACCAGTTCCAGCTCCAACACAGTTTCTGTTGTGGACCTTTTCATGGCAAAGAACAGGTCACTGCCTCAGTTTCCCTCTCACTGTGGCCTTTGTATCCATTTGGCTCATAAGCTTCTAGATTAGGTACTTGTGTTTCTGAAGAGCCTACTTTGCCACAGCCGCTGTCTCTGTGGAAATGTCTTAGCACTACCCTGACAGAAACATTTTGCAGCAGCCCTAGAAGGTGTTTATTTACCCAGACATGGCTGATCGCACTGGAGGAAGCACCAAATGCTTCCAAGAGCCAGACCCAGCTTTAATTAACAAGCATAACTTAAATGTGTTCATCTGCTGGAGTCACAGCAGGAAATTCACTGGAATTAAGACCAAACCTCAACTCCTGCTTGCTGTGGCGCAGTAGCACACAGTGCTAACGGAAATGTTACCTATATTCCAGGAAAAGGTGCCCACATGGACAGATGGCTGATTCAACCCAGAGATCACAGCCTGCCTCCCCAGATAGACAAGCTCATTACAAGGCTGCCTTAAGCTATGCTTATCTTGACAAGCTGCAAGATAAAGAGTAGTTGTGTCAACAGTTTAATGGCAGTGGCTTGGCACTGCAAGCGGGTTTACCCTCACGTTTGCACAGGGGAGAGGTGGATCTCAAGCCAAGACATCCAAAATTCAAGCTCCTGGTTTTAGAATCACCAGCCTGTGTATTTGTCCCTCATCAGACCAGCTCTAGGGCTAGTACCAGCGGGAGTTTCTCCTGCAGGTCTGGCCCTTAAAGTATGACTGAGGTCCCCAGAGAAGCCAGGTGATATGTGATGGGTTTGGAGGTCACTTAAAGGCTGCTGTGATCAAAGCTGGGTGCCTCTGTCTTCAGTGTGATGATGGTGGCTGCACAGGCCCACACACCTTCCCTCTTTCATCAGCATCTTCCAGGGTCTGTCAGGCTCTTGCCTGAATGACGACTCTTGGATGGAGACCAGACACTCCATACTGCCACACCAAACCCTCTATCAGGTGTGGTCACAAGCTACTCCAAGATTTCAGCTGGGCACAGCCAACACCAGCTGTGACCAGTGAGGCCAAAGGAAGGGGCTGGACCCATGCAAGGGGGGCTGGCAGCAGTTGGAGGAGCGTTAAGGTGGTCACTCATCCTCAGGACTTGTCCCTGGGGTCCAGAGGTGCTTCCTTCTGAGAAATTTGAGCCTCAGGATTTAAACACTGTGGGATGGTGCCTGTTGTTAGCATGAATACAGTCAGGTCTGGCCAGACAGGCACCCCACTGCACTTGTCCAGAGTCCAAGTCCTGCCCTGAATTTGGGACAGGAGCCCTGTATGGGGCAGGCCAGTGCTTTCACATGCTCACTACCCTGGTTTTACTGGAGGGGAAACTGAGGCACAAGCAGGTGATGTGACCTGCCATAGGGTCACTACACAGCTCCAGGAACAGAAACAAACTTCCTCAAGCCCCAGGCCAGTGCTGTCCTACAGCCCGATATCTGATTGTACAACAACCAGGCACCAGCCACCTGGTCTTGCCTTTTCTTTCTGTTGGTGTTTCTGCACATTTTTGGAGAGCAGGCTGGGACACACCTCTGCTCAAGCCAAGCCCTGGAGTTTGCCTGCTTTAGGCTGATCAGCTCCCAGCCTTGCACCAGAACTGGTGGCACTGGGCAAGGAAGGAGGGGCACAGGTCATTACTCACATATTGGTAGGGCAGTATCACAGCCAGGATGATGCCACCAAAGAAAAGCACCATGAGCATCACGAAGAGGACACCCTGGTAGGAGGTGAAGTCAAACTGTGGAGGCAAAGAACACCACGTTACAAGTGCAGAGTGCTGAAACGGGAGGCAGCGAGGGGAGCCAAACCTCCTGTGTCCACAGGGAGGGACTCCCCAGCAGCACACCCATCTTGCTGTTCCATGGCAATTGCTTCATCTGCATCTCAGGTCCTATAGCCCAGCACCCATCTGTACAGCACGCAGAGCCAGACAGTTACCATATCCCCTTTATCACCACAGGCAAGAACTCAGTACCCATCGCATACCTGAAATCCAAAAGCTCATCATATGCATTTGTGCCAGTGCCCTTCTGTACCCTACAGCCTAGTCCTCAAAAAAAAAACCAACCAAACAAACAAAAAGCTTACCCCCACACATTAGCATCTTCCAGCCCCATCTATACCCCAACACATCCCTCACCCCAGCATCTGCCCTAATCTTCCTGTAACCTTCTTACATCTCGGCATCCCTCAGGTTGCTCCTGTATGCAGAGCCCTACAGACCTGCCTCTTCACACCTCACCCCCAGCACTGCCTGACCCTGCGTCCTACCCCTGGGAGATACCTCTCCCAGAGGGACTGATCAGCACGAACTCACCTTGGTCTGGAAGCTGAAGATCGTGACAGACAGACACACCAGGGCTGTGATCCCCAGACACAGAAGGACTGACTTGGTATTGTAGTAACTGCAAAATTAACAGCAAAACCACTTTTCAGTGTTTCCGACAGGGACAGGTGGAAGGAGGGATTAAGTAAGACAAGCAGAAGCTTAGCAGAGGTGTGCAAGGAAAGCATGAGTCCTAGGGGCACAAATGGCACTAAAATTATCAATGTTCACCCTTAATGTAAAAAGGGAAGGATAGAAAACACTAAAAAAAGACTAGATGGGTTTTCCTCCTGCTTTAAATAGAAGGTAGGCAGGAGGGCATGTCTATGCCTTCTGGGAGCTCATGAGCAGCTAAGATGGAGACTTACTATAAAAATCTATCTGTCCATGGACAGATGGAGAAGGGGGAGGATTCAAACTGGGAGGTAATAAAAATAGAATGACAAATGTCATTGCAGCACAATGAGAAATCAGAAAGCTGCAGCCACTGTACACTACTGATGTGCTTGTAACAGGGGATTGGGTCTTGGAAAACTGCAGGGAAGGAGGGATTTGAACAGGTAGAGAGACTGCAGGCTTAGGTTATAATTTTTTTGTATGTCTGACTCCTGATTTTGGTTACAGCACCAGGCTCAGCCCTAAGAAAAGCCAGTCCCCACTCTCCCCTTCGGTTTGATTGAAGAGTGATATCACTGGTATTTTCCCCGAGCTGCTGAAGCCGCTACTTTCTTTGTCCCCAGCACACATCCATCAACACCCACTGCTCATCTGCCTCATCACCAGGGACCCACGTGAACCAGAGCTGATCTTGTGAGCAGATTGTAACAGTGAAAACACAAGCAAAAGGGAGCAAGCTGTAGACTATAAAAAACCTGAAACTGCTGGAAAAAACTTCTTGTCTCACACCAGACCCATCTGCTGGAGTGCTGCTTAGTGGAAAAAGTGAGATCACAGTGTATAGTAGTCCCCTACAGACCATCCATGCAGGCACTGCCTTGTCCCTGGCTCTCTAGTGCTCTCCTATAGGGTTTAGCATAGCCAGGGACTGCCCTGTGGTACCTCAACTGTGACAGAGAAGGGGATGCCACCATAGGTCTTGGGGAGCTTCTTTAAAAACTGTTTTCAAAAGGGAAGGTCAGGCTTTGTGTGGCTACTGGAACAGTTCCAGAGAGATCAAGTGGCCCATATATTTTAAAAGTAGGGAAGTTTTTTTGCAGGAAGAGACAGGACATAGGACCAAAAGATATCCAGAGATCACATGCCTAACCTACCTGGAGAGCATCCCGGTGAGATAAGCCATGGACAGTGTCTGGGAGGGAAAGAGAACCACATTACTTCTGCATTCATGTCCCAGGGAGACACACGCAACAGATAAAACATCTCAATTACAGTGACAAGGGCAGTGAAACCTAAACAGATGCTCAAGAGAAGCAATTTTTGCATAGTTTCTAATCCTCCAATGATTAATATCCACAAGGCAGGTTAAAATGAGGGCAGGGCAACACCTTGAGAGCAGTCCCACCTTCTCCATCCCTCTACCCCTCTTGCACAGGATTCCAGCACCCTACCCCAGGTCCCAACACTGACCAGCCTCTGTAGGCTTTTTTTTTTTTTAAACAGAGGCTCCCTTCTTTCCTGCTTATCACATTCTAGTTCAATTACAGCTCCTCAGCCCAATTTCAGGGCAATTAGAGGATGAAACTCCTGCTTTCTGCAAGAATCCAGACCAGACGTCTCTCCTGCTTGGAGCCATTATGAAACCCATGCTGGTTGCAGGGGCAGGGCAGATGCTGTCCAGATGTGCTACTTACAAAGATGCTCAGCAGGATCAGATTCCATGGGAAATACCTCCTGCAAGTGAAGAAACAGGGGCTGGTCAGCCCTGCGATGCAGAGGGCAGAGGTAGTTAGCAGCACTGCACAACAGGTTACATAAAATGTGCCATATAATTAATGGCCTGTGCAGCAAATGGCAGGGGTGGTGCAAGGGGACAGTCATCCTGTCAGGAATGAGAGTGCATTTGAGGTGCTTCTAGACCAAGAGGGCAAACGTCCCCATGATATTCCAGCAGAGCAGCCAGCAGTGCCTTGCTCCATCGAGAGCAATGACCATCCTCTGCAGTATTTAATAATGATAATTTGGAGCTACACCATGATGCAATTTTTACTGCAACATAGCTTCCTTTCCAGTTGCAATTTGACTTCAGCTTTTAATGCTTGTTGCAGCAACCCACAACTGCATCAGGCCTAAAACACAGCTGCCACCTCAGTCCCTATAGGACTGTGTCAGCATGACCCCACCCCATCTCCACAACATTTTTAGTCATGCTTGAAACAAGAGGAAAACATTCATCCTTCATTTCACAGGGCTGTTTCAAATCCATAAAGAAAATATTTTACCTGGGTCCAGAGCAGCAAGCAAGAATCAAGTAGGTCACAAAGAAAACAGCACTGCAAAGAGAAAAAGAGCAGTTTAGGGAGGAAAACCCAAGGGTTGTGTGTTGATGCAGGGCAGCTGACAAGTTTAAGTGCTCTGCTGCGCTGTTTAAAATGCAAGCACCGTGCCAGAAGTTGAGGCTGGGTAGGAAGCAAGGCAGTTACGATCTCTCACCGAAGCTGTTTTCTGCCCAAGGTGGGACAGCACAAACGTCCCTGAAAAACCTGAAGGATGGTTTTAGAGCAGAGCAAGGGTAGCATTCAAGTCCAGGATAGACGGAGCACCCAAATGTGTTTGTTCCTGACACCTCATCAGGGCACAATTTGCTCATACAGAGGTGGCCAGACTTTGCCCCTCATTTCCAGGCATTTCCTGGCTTGGTGGGATCAAGGCATCCTGCTGGGATTTCAGCAGCACTTAAACCAAGATTCACAGGGCTGTTAAAAGTGACTTGCCTAAGACCAGATGGAAGGTCTGTGTCTGAGAAGGGAACTGGTCCCATGTTACTGCACCAGTGCTTGAGGAAGAGTTCAACAGCAGAAGGATCCTCCAAGGTCAGTGAAGCTTACAGACCCAAGCCTAATATGCTGTTGCACAAGCCATCCCCAGGTCACAGGAGAGTTATTTATCTCACATGACCCTTCAACAAAGCAAAAAAATCCAACAGCTGAAGGATGGTCTCCCCCTGCTCTGGACGTCACGCAGCCCGGGTGTTTTTCCAGAGTGCTGATGGGTTATGGCACAGTGGGAACCTGCTTTCACCCAGCGCCTGGGGGGAAAGCAGCTTCCAAGCATGCCGATGACTGCACGATAGCCAGTCACCTTAGGTCTAATAAATGAACGTGACGGCAAAACCCACGGGCCATGATAAATGCACCAGAGATAAACCTGAGCATTGCTCTCCCACAGGGAAACCAGGAAAGCTGGAGTGGAAACGGCTGAATAGATGGAAAGAAAGCATGTAGGGAGCAAAGAGAGCCATTGAAGTTGTCCATCTTCTTTGCATCCCTTGTTGCACATCTGCTCTTGCTTTATTCCCTCTGAGTCATCACCCCAGCAGTAGGAAAACACCCTAGGGCACCCACTTCTATTTTTACAGAGGTGTATGTAGAGTTAGGGTCTCTGTGTACAAAGGAGGTCCAGATCCAGGTCGGGACAAGCAATTGGAGACACTGGGATGGAGGGAAGGGTTGGCTTGCTGGGAGGTGAAGCAACAGACAAAGTTTAAGTCCCTCAAGTACAGACCCTACCCCCAGCTGGCCCAAGATGTGTTTGATCCTACGGAAAGATAGGAAGAAATAAACACTAACTGGCCAATAAACTGCAAGAGATGAACCCAAAGGTCAAAGCATAGACCCGAGCAGAGCTTGGTCTTGTCTCCCTACGAGGCAGCGCTGCTTCTCCAATCTACCAATTGGCCAAAGAGGAGCACGTTATTTTCCCTTAAGGTCAAAGAGGCATGATGATGCGCCAGTTCTCTTCTATTACTGTTATTTCAGGTCTCTAAGTTATATAAGCTGGTGTCTCATCTCTGGGCCTGGACACATTTCATGGTTTGGGTGTGAACTAATTAAAGCCAAGTTCACAGAGCCTTGTTCACAGACAATTGCATCGCACACTCTGCCTGCTTAATTAGCAGCACTAACACAAGCGGCATCCAGGAAACCACCACAACTGCAAATATACCAACGCATGGAAGCACAGCCTACACTACCTCCAAGCTGACCTTTTGGACCAGGCTTGACTAATGAATGGCATCCCAAATTCTGGGCAGCGAGAGCAGCTCTGTGATGAAGACCCAGGCATGACAGCCCCACTCAGACATGGCCAGGAACACCCTAATACCTCCAAATGCACCCACCCAACACCCCCTTCATTGCCTGCACCCTTCTTCACATCTGTTGCATATCAAGGCATACAATGTAAACCCAGGCAACCTCCTTGCTTTCAAAAGGACAATCCCAAAATTAAGCCTCTAAGGTACCCTCAGCACCCTTTCAGGTCTCACATCTGGGTTTCTGCAGTGTTTTCCTGGAAGCTCCCCTGTTTTGCCTGATTTGCTCTGCAAGCAGTACTCATGTATTTACTTTGACCTTGGTTTGTAGAGCCCTCTTTTTCAAAGTATTTGGAGGTATCCGGCATCTCTCATGTCTCATACTCATTTAGGTGAGATTTTCCATCTTCTTACCTCGGAGTTATCCATGAATTTCCCCAGCTCTCCCTGCACACATTTTGGAGCAATTCTTCACATGCAAGATACAAAAGTGTTTGGAATGTGTCTCCACATCACCACAGCCACATCCAGAGCTGTTTGGAGCATACATGGCCATAGGAAAAGACAGAGATACTCACTAGGAAGCCCAATACCAGGCAGAGTGTGTCTGAATATACCCCTTGACCGGCTCACTGCAAGACAGAGAAAAGGGATGCTGAGCAGAAAGCACAAAAAAAGCCAATCCCTTCACAGGTTGCTGCTAAATTAAACCTGGAAACACACACAAGGGGATGCAGCACGGGGTATGTGGAAGGAAAAAAAAAAAAAGAAACCAACAAAACAACAAAAAACATCATGGCTGAATCTACCTGGCAGAGTGACCAATTGGAAAGAAATTCAACCTGTCAAGTTGGAACGACGGCCCTGCTGTTATCAATTACCCAGTCGGGCTTGCTTGGGGAACGGCTGCTGCCTTCTCCAAGAAGTGATTAAAAAGCTGAAATCCTCAGGCTGACAGTGATTCATTATTTATTCTGGAGGCAACATGAGCCACGCATGCCCAAAATGCTCAGTCATCTGAGCTAGAGACAGCCGCTGCTCAAGTGTGGGGTACCTGCTTCTGCAAGGGGGGGGGGGCGGGGGGCGTAACCCAGCCCCTGAAGCCAAGGTAGGCTGGGATCTGATGGCCTTGATAACTCCCAAAGGAAAAATACAGCAGTTAATACTCAAGGGCAAGCAGCCCAGGCCTCTTGGCTAGCGATAGCACCCAGAATGGATGATACACCATCCAGAGGACATGCAGGAAAGGTAGCAGAAGTACTGCAGGACCTCTCAGGGTTCCCTCAGTTTTGTTTTTCTATTGGAGCACATGGGAAAAAAATTCAGGTATCTACATAACAGACAACACCCCCAAGTAAGCAGTAATTCAGGAGCGGGTCATACACAGGACAAAGCAAGCATCACTGCTACACAAGACACCTACCAGAAGGTGAAGAAAGCCACAATAACAACCGTGACCAAGAGCTGGACCATCAGGATGGCATAAACCTGCAACAAAAGGCAGCCCATGGGTGACCTGCAGACTCTCTTCTTCCCACCCAGCCTGGGGAAGCCAGCAAAGCCATTACAGCCAGGTCCCTCCAAGGTCTCAGAGCTAGTCACCTGCCTTCATAGGGGAAGGCTGAGCCTGGAGACACTTGCCCCTTACCTTCCTGATGAACACTCTGCGCACATTCCTGTCATCCCAGCTGAAGGTCGTGAGCATCTCCATGTCCCCTGGGTACCCGCCACTGCCATAGCTCGGGCTCGTGCCTGAAGCAGAAGCCAGACAGATCAGGTCCTACCACCCGGTTCCCTCCCCAGCTGCAATAATCTGACCCCAGGGATTGACTACAGCTCAGGAGGCCCACATTTTAAGGTTTTCTTGTTGCACTGCAAAACTGAGGCTTGCTGGGATGCACTCTGCTCCTTTCCCACTCCTGCACCTTATTAAGACCATCTCTGAGAACAGAGGAAACCACTTCTGCAAACCCCAGCACAAGGACACCAGGGTTAATTCCTGTCTATGGTAACACCGTATCTTTAATGGCAATTAGAAGGCTCATATCATATCCTTGCTCATCTTTCACTGAATGTTAAAGCATCCCCCCAGAGGAGCCATGACTCAGCACCTCAGTCATTCCCATCAGGAGCTCTGGTGCAGGAGGATTCCCTTGCTGCTCTGTAATTGCTTGAGCTTAGACTGTGTATGCATCATGTCTTATGTCAACAGTGTGCCCTCCTCTCCTCTGAGAGAAGCTCGTTACAGCCAGCTTTTCCGTAAGGTCCAATCTTATTTCCCATGCAGGGAGTCAGAGCACGGTTTAGCAGCAAGCCTAAACAAGGGGGAAAACTCCAGTGCTGCTGCTGAGAGTACCTTCCCCAAAAATCATTGCACCACACAACCCAGCTTTGCTTTGCTGAAGGCTCTGTAATGCAAGCTGCTGTTGCTGTAGTTTCCCTGCAGATGGGCAAGGAGGAAGGCTGGACCATAAAGCATCAGTTTGCTCTGCAGCCTGAAGGGAGATGGAGGGAAACACCAGAAAACATCTGCCTGCCGGGGAGGCAACTGTGCCAACAGCCAGGGATGAAGGTAGCAGTAAGGATATTACAGGGCAGTGGGTTACAAGGAGAAACGCAAAGCAGCAGCTTCTCCCTACTAAGATCAACTTTACAAATTAGATACAAGAATCAGCCTTCTCCATCTCCCGAAACTCATGCTCAAGAAAAAAAAATAAAACAAATACTGAAACCTCAGTTGTCTTAGGACATCATTCCCCTGTGCTATTTGCTTCTCTTGCAAATATCCCCTTCCGTGTTACTAACTCTCCCCGCCTGGGTTTCCTATAGAATGAAGGCTTATGCGATTATACCAGCTATACATTCATGTCCCTGCCTGTTTGACAGATGCCTTCCCTCCTTCTCAAAGCTTTTTAGCTCAGTGATACTCAGATCCTTCAAGCAGATGGAGGAAAGACCCTCTCAAACTCAAGAGGACAGACTGCAGACACCAGGAAATCCAAACTCAAGGCCCTGGTCCTGGATTTCTTCTGTTTTACTGGTCAAAGGTTGCTTGCTCTTATTGCAGAAGCCTCATCCTAAAGATGCCCCTGGCAGGAAATAAATCCCTTGTGCTCTTCTTGTGCCTAATAAATCTCTCGTGCCTTCTTCTACACCCCAGTGGAGATGAAACTCCTGCAGTATGTCCTCTCTGCATTTCTGCGAGATCTGTCATCACCCACACGGGGCCGAGAGCACCTGAGGCCCATATCCCCAGGACACTTCAATGTCTCCTGCATCAAAGCAATCAAGGCATCTAAATACCAAATTAGGCATCTAAATGCCTCGGAGGAATGGAGGAGGTTTCCCCCTCCCTGGCTAGTGTCCCCAGCACCTGCATCACCTCCCACCCACAGCCACATCTGAGGCAGCAAGACAGCATGTCCCAAGCTTATTAGTAAAGAAAGCAACCCAAAACACGCACCACTTCCATCCAGCTACGACCAGTCCCTTATAAGCTGTTAGACACAGCCCCATGGCATCTCCCCCACCAACCCGCCACAGTACAGGGGCCACAGCTTGCAGCATGGCTGAGGGCAAGGAAAAGGGAGAAAGACATGAAATCAGAGGAAAACACAAGCAGGGATCAGGGCACAGGACCCAGCTGCAGAGAAGAAATCCTGCCAGGCTTGTCAGGGAGGGGACAAGAGATGACATCTCCTAAACAAGTCTTCCGGGATACCCAAAATACCACCATCCTAACCCATCATGACAGTAGAAAGACCCAGATGGTTGTTAGAGCAAGCTGGAAGATTATTTATCCCCTCTGTTTCTGACCCCTGAAGGCAAACAAGAATGGGAAAAGTCTGTGAGACCATTGGAGTGTGCAGACACACACGTCTCAGAGGGGTTTAGCTTGCTCTTACCCCTTCCCCAAACACCTACATCCCTGCAGCTGCAACTGTCGCCACTGGATGGAACAGGCAATCAGCAAAGCACAGCAGAGGAAGAGGACTGAGCAGAGACAGAGGACCCAGGAGTCATTAAATCCAGTCCCTCCAGCGCTCTCTCCAGTTCAAGCTGTGCTGACCAAGCAGTTGGCCACCCCAGCAGACTTGCTTGCCGGCCACAGCATCCTGCATCCATCCCAGCTTGCCGCTATACAGCCATTCCCTGGCACTGGGCACAGTCGAGCCTTTGTCTGCTTGTCACAACCAAGCAGAAGCTGCACGCAGCACCCACAGAAGAAAAGCTGTCTGTTTGCCGAGAAGTCAGCCACAAAGACTGATGCTAGAACAATTCAGCCTTCAAGTCCAGCCATGTGTTAGCCTCCACTGGCTCTGAACACCGGCTCATAGCAGCCAGACATCACTGATGCCGCAACACCAATTTTGCCAGTTCAGCGGCTTCTTTGAAAGCTGGGGTTGAGCAGGAGCTAGAGGGGGAGGCTGCTGCCTGCAGAGCCAGGAGCATTGCACCAGGACTTTTCCCAGCCCTGGGAAGGGGCATTTCCCAGTGCAGCAAGCTAGGAGAGGGGATTTTTCCCATCCCAGTACTGGGAAGGATAGCAGGGACAGAGCACTGGAGTTTAGTCCCACCTCTGGAAGGCAGTGTGGTCTAGTGGTTGGGTAAACTAGCTTTTACATATAGATATAGACTTACATGGCTTATAGCTACAGCTCTAGGCTGAGTTCTACCAGGGACCAAACTGGGCACCACATCTCTAGTTCCCCTTTTCTCTATAAGCCCTTAGGGGGAATCTCTGCACCCCTCTACCCCCTCTGCAAGGAGCTTGCCCTGGGTACAGCCACAGGAGGACTTACTGGGGTCAACATAAGCCCAGCTGGGGTGGAGCGGGACCGATGGAGGAGGAGGGTAAGCACCAGACTTCATCCCTTCTCCCGCTGTTGCCTCCTCATAGGTTGGAGGAGCTGGTGGAGCCGTGGCATTGTCCTTCTTCTCCCCTTGCCCCTCAGAGTTGGGGGGTTTGTTGTTCACAGAGAGCTGCACAGAAAAGGGAGGGCAGAAGGGAGACATTAGACTGTAAAAACAGCACAGAAACTGCCCTGCAATGGGAACCCAACAGGGCACGGATGGAGGTCTGGGGGTCCCTCCACTGGGGGGAGGGATCAGGAACTGGAAGGACACCCACCAACTCCTGTGGGGTGACAATGGGCCCATCCCTGCACCCCCAGGAAGGAGCATCCTCTGGTGTGATTGAGGGAATAGGTGGGAGAACACCTGACATGTTAAAGGGGATGAAAAATTATAGGCAGCCAGGTCTGAGGGGAGACAGCCTTGCCCAGGCTCCTCTGTGGTGCCTCAGGCTCATATGTAACATGATAAGCATCCAAATAATTCTCTGCTTTTCAGCCTCCTCCTTTCTAAATTTTCCCTTAAAAACCAGCTTTCAGTCACTGGGCAGAAAATCCTGAACTCCTTCATTTCCACTTACACCCATATTTGGGGGAGTTTCTTCTAGCCCCCAGGAAAACCATGCTCTGGTTTGGCCCTCCAACACTTTCTTCTAGCTCATTCCCCTCTGCCCATCTAGAGGCTCAGCCTTGCTGCTTTCCATACTTTGAAGATGCAGCTAAGGGACTTGGCATCCCATGTCTTCAGACTATGAAATCCCAGCAAAGAGCCAGCCTTGGGCCACCTGAGAGCTTGCTTCTCCTTGGGAACATTATCCATTTAACCTTCTAGATCTTTGTCATCCTGGGATAAGTTATGAGCCTGGTATCCTGCCCTTGCTGCCAAAGGGGGTGCCAGCTCAGCATCAGGGATAGCATCCCCATGGATCACAGGGATGGGGGACTGAAAACCCAAGAAGTCCAAAATGAAGCAGACAGACTAACCAGCACTGCAACACACAGCACAGACCCTGTAAGAAAGTCTTAAATTACAGGTGTAACAGGCCCTTGAAAATAAAGCCAGGATACCAGGCTGGGATGTGCACCACAAGCAGTTCCAGCTGCCTCGGGATAACTGTGCCACCTCCTGTGCCAGCTCATAGGGACTGTCCTCACCCTGTCCTTCACTACGTAGCCCTTAGGTATAGGGTGGCCAATATCATGCAAGACCCCCAGAGATACCCAAGGAGATACAAGAGGGACCGTGCTGCCTGCATCCAGGCAGCCTCCAGCATCGTTGTCATGGCAATGGTGCACTCTGCAGAGGATGCATAAACCGCCCCCTCGCTGGTCTCAGAGCCTTGGAGAACCCCCAAAATCCAGAGCTCCCTGGAGCAGGAAGGAGGTGCCAAGGGCTGACTGCTGGGGGCACGGATGGAAAAGCACAAGCACCCCATTGAGCTCCCTGACACCCGGGATGGGTGGAGGAAAACAGCCACAGGTCCAACAGCAGGGTTGGGCTGCACATCCAGCACCAGGACAAACAGCCCCCAACCCCATAACAACACAGCCCTCCGTCCCCTTTGCCAAAAACACCCCCAGCGCAGGGGCCAACACACCGGGCCTGTGCACGGATACCCGGCTCCCCCCCCTCCACAGCGATTATTTTATTCCTTAAATCCCCTCCCTTCGACCCACTTTCCCCCTCTAACCATGCAAACAGGACGACTCGCCGTCCCAGCACTGGCCTCCCACCTACCTTCCCCTGGGTCATGGCTCTGGGCTAACGATGATGCCGCCCGACCCTGCAAGCGGCAGCAGGAGGGAAAGGACCGTAGCTGAGCGCAAGCCTCCTCGCCGGCTCCTTTCCACCCCCTCTCCCGGGATGTCTCGGCTCCGGCTGCAACCGCTGCAGCATCCACAGCCTGCGCTGATGCCTTCACCTTCTAGCAACATCCACGGAGCAACGGGCGCTGGAGGGAGGAGGACCGTACCATTCCCAGCCTGCCACACAGGGGGAAGCCGGGAAAAAAAAAACAGCTAAAACGGAGGCGAACGGCCACCGGCAGCGATGGGGAAGATGGACGGACACGGCACCGGGGAGATGGCGGCAGGGTCCTGCACCGCGGGGTGGGAAACGGCCACCCCAGAGATGCTGAACTCGGCAGGGCCGGGATTGCAAAGGGGAGGGAGACGGGAAGGATGCTCTTGCTGCAGCATCTCTCCGCCGCTGCGCGTCAGAGACGACCACGGGCCAGCGAGCAGCAGCTTCCACAGGCCCTGCTGCAACCCGGCACAGCAACCAGGGCTGTTGTGGGGGGGCTGGAGGGTCCCCTGGGGTAGAGGGGAAGGCTGGAGCCAAGTTCTGTAACAGGAGAGCAGGAGGGAGGAATCGCACAGGGCTCTGGCTCCCTTCCTGACCCTTTCCAGGCTTTGCATGAAGGGGGGGATCGCAGAGAGGACGAGGTTCATTTGCCCCATGTGCCTTGTCCTCTTGGGACTTATGCAGCCCCACCTGGGGGGCACAAGGAGGGTTTGGAGGTGTCCCAGGGCAGCCAGCATGCTGCAGCCCCCATCACCAAAGCAATGTTATTAATTTAAGCCCTGGAGGGCTTAAATCTTGAGTCCTGCTCCCAGCCCAAAGCATTTCCAAAGGAAGGGGCACAAAGCAAATGAGGTTTTACCCCCCATGACAGGGTCAGGGTGATGGGGGGATTACAGTCTCAAGGGCACAGAGAGATGAAGACATTTGCTTTTACGCCACAGGGAGCATGAAAGGTGAAAAAACCCAAAACGTCCCTTTACATAGAGATGTGCTTCACATGGGCAGAAAATTTGTCCAGGATTGAGAAAGAGACAGACAGCACAAACACAGCACACCCTCTACCTAAACACATGGAGAAGCAGGCTTGTGATGAATGACAGATGTCAGCAGAGCAGTCTTGCTCTGTGTTCCCACAAAATAAAAGCACAATTTCAGGCAGCTCTGGAACTACACTTCAGATAGGAGCTGTGCCCCTACATCCCAACTGTCCACATCCTCCCTCCAGTCCTTCTCCAGCCCCTTCAAGTCATTTATTGCTTGTCATGCCATAAGCATGCATCACTCCTCAAATTAGTTTGCCAAGTCTATAATACAGGTACAAAAAATAAATTAGCTTATCTGTTTACTTTGCCATGAAAAAAAAAAGACCCTGTCACATTTTAGGCTCCCTAACCACAGTCCTAGAGAAGGTGAAGAATAGGCTGTCTGCAAGGAAAGGAGGTTGAAAAGAGCATCCCCATTTGCAGCTTCTGCAAAGAAGCAGGTGATGGAAGGGTTAAAAGGAAAGCATGAGCTGGAAATGAAAGAATGCAGCCAAGCAATGTACAGCTGGCATCCGTACAGACCTAGCCCGAGCTATTCAATTGGAAAGAGGCGATTACCACAAGGACTGCAAAAACTTGTCAGGATTATTCAGAATCAATTAAGTGCCAGTTAACCACAAGCTCCTCAAGGGCTTTCATTCTCCTCGAGGTTGAGCAGAGGCGTAAAACTGGGCAGGTCCCAAGTGAGGGAGAGAAACTCAACCAAGCAGGTGGGGTTGTCACTGCTCCGGCTGAGCACAAGGAAACCCTGCTTGGCTTGTTGACCCCTTTCAAGCATGGGGACAAGCCAAGGGGTCAAGTGCTTAGGAACAGAAACTCCAGGTGATGCATGGCATTGTGGCGAGAAAGGAGACACCCATTTTCTTAACAAACCCCAGAAGGACTCATCCCAGCTGCAGTCCCTGGCCAAGCCAGATTCCTTGGTGGGACAATGCAGGACCCTGCATGCTCCATCCTAGGCTGAAGGTGCTTCAGAGAGCTAAAATACTGGGTCTGGAAAAGGAAAAACCCTCAGTAAAGAAAAGCAGATGGCACAGCAGCCTCCCTCTAAATAAAAAGCAGCAGGGAAGAGAAACCAAGCCCCTCCACCACCCTGTTGTCTAGAAGGCCCATTCCCACCCCCTGAGCTCCCAGAGAGTATCTCGGTCTTCCCTCACTGCCCAGCCCCAAAACAAATCCAACACCAACAGGCAATGTTTTCAGGGGGCTCTGCAAAACCATCATGTCTTTGCCCAGCCAGGAAAATTAGCTGGGAGAGCCCATGGGCTGCAAGGCTTGAAATGAGTCTCATCTCTGCCATGGAGAAGACAAGGATGACTCTGCCCAGCTGGTAGCAATGAAAAGCAGAGCCCTTCAGCCTCTGCAGGGACCATCCTTCTCCATCAAAATAGCTCCTCCAAGCCTGGTTTCTTGCTTTTCTGTTTGAGCTGGAAGCTCTTAAATGTGTCAGAGTCCTACCAAGAAGGTAATTTTCTCCAGATCTTCTCTTTTCCCAGTCTCACAGATGCATTAGGAGGATAAGTACACACAAAAGCCAGATTCCAGATTGTGATGCTCACACGCAGCATCACAGCAACTGTTCGACATCCCCCATCCAGCTCCCTGACCAACTGCTGGTCCAGCTCAGCATCAGGCTGCGTGAGGCAACCATTTTCCTGCACACACATACCTTTAATACTCAGGGGGGAAAAAAAAAATAATATCTGTTGAGGCCACACCCTGCCAAATCCACAAGGGATTTCACAGGGATTAAAGCAATTTTGCTGAACACTCAATCACATAAAAAACAAGGTAAAGAAAACCTGATGAGATAATTAAGGGATCTGCTGCATCAACATACATGATGGCACACCCAGGAGCCCTCTGTAAAGACGCTTTACCCCATCCCCAAGATGGGAAAACCCCCACTGGCAGTGAATGCTCTGCCACAGACTTCAAAAAAACAACATTAAAAAAATAGGAATTTACCCTAGGCTTTCAGGCTGCTGAATTATCCACGGATTATTAATGCTAAATCCTGCCACCAGGCTTGGTCCCTAGATGGGAGATTAACATGCAAGCTGTGAACACCAGGGCACACATGAAGAGGGGTCTGGAAGGATAAAAGAAATAAACCCAACCTTATTCTTGAGGGGCAAAGCCCTACCCTTGTCTCCCAACCTGCCAGCATCCCAGGCACAGGGTAGGCAGGGAGCTCCCCAGTTCCTATCAGCCCCAGGTGAGCCACCCCTGAGCCTCACCTCCACGAGAGGTGGAAACCTGCTCCAAGAGCCACTATTTCCCTTCCCAGCCAGCGTGTACCTTCTTGCTGTTGTGCAGAGTCCTTCAGCTGAAATAGCCCTCCTGCCTCCCCAAGCTGTTCTTGAAGAGCAGAGATCACTTCCCCTTAAGATGCAATGTAAGGAGCTGGACGAGCCAGAACTATTTGGGGTGGGATGTTCTCACTGGCTTCCACACTGAGCATCAGTCTGTAGCTCAGGCTTTGACAGCCAACACTGGTGCCTGAGCTAAAAAAAAAACCAAACAACCAGCCCAGCCCTTCATCACCTCTTTTATACCATCAGTTTTCCATTGCCTGGAAGAAAATCCTGCAAACTGTGCCCAGCTGAGCTGTCACACCTGACCACAGGCTCCCCAGCTGCTGGGTAAAATCAACTTAAGCCCTGAGAAGGGCATTTTAATTAGAGACAGCTCAAACTCCAGTGGTGGGCAGTAGCTGCAAGTCAGCCGGGGACCATTATCTGAGTAAGCTTCTTGGTTGCTTGCAGTTGTTTGCCCATGCTGTGGGGCTAAGATAGTGCCAGGATTTGGGTGCTTTGAGAAACTTTGCCCTATTGTTTTTTTAAATGCCTCCAGAGCTGGTGTGTGTGCTTTTGGTGAACTGCAGGGAACAGGTCCCAGTGGTGAGGTTAAAAAATAAACAGAAGCAAAATCTGTGATACCCACAAACCACGTCAGAGAGTAACAACAACACACGCGCATACACCAACCAAACAAATAGATAAATATAAAGATGAGGCACTCCCCAGGATTAAATTGTTCAGCTGCTCAGGAGTGCATTTCACTCATCGCTGCCAGAAGAACATGTTCTTACCACCATCGTGTGCATTTGATGCTGTTAAACGAAAGGAATTGCACAAGTATGCAAACTTGCCTCACTGGGAGTGGGGGAACAGAACAGGTTTGGGTGACACTTGGAGTGACACCTTCATGCCACTGTGCAGTTTCTTCTTTAAACTATCATGAAGAAACTTTATATAATACAATCCAGGGATGTGCACAGGAATTTTTAAATTCTTATCGGTCCATATAAGTGACCCGTGGCCTTGCAGTGACGCAGCAGCCTGACGCACAGGACCCAGGTAATCAGCAGGAAGAAGAGATGGAGGAAAGAGCTTTGCTGCATTACAGAGCCCAAATTTCCATCACTAAAATCCAGGTTTGTTTTTGCTATCCTGGAAGAAGGCTCTGTCTTTGCCTTGGAAGCTCAAAGTTAGAAGTGAGGGTGTTTCCCATCTGGCCTAATGACGTCCCAGGAATAGCTTGTAATGTGTCCCCTGTCCTCCAACCCCATGACATTTGCCTTCCTTGCCTACGTCCCCAAGCGAGCAAACACCTTTGCGTTTCCTCCTTTGCATAGCTCCAGATTTCCCAGCGAGCTGCTTCCTTCCTCTCTTTCCTCCTTAAAACACACCTTTCCCATAACATCCCTGCACACTTGACTTTGCTAGGTCAGGAGATTGATGCCTGCCTTGCTGAAAGTAACTTCATTTCCTCAAACTTGCCCATTTGTCTGCAGATTTCTCTCCCACCGTTACACCATCAGTGACCTGATATGCACTACCTGGGTCCGTACAGTCTTGCACCAGGCCGTCCTCGTCCGAGATCAGTAACCTAAGGTAGAAG